TTAAAGAAAAATGATCACATCACATAAGCTTAGTTGGAGCAAGTGACCAAAAGCTGCTTTGGTAACTAGTGTTAGACACTTTAAAAGGGGAAACTTTGAGAAAGTAAGGAAATAAATTAGTGAAGTAACAGACAGAAGAATTTAAGGGCTCAGATAAAGAAGTCTGCAAACTCACTGTCTCAAATATGCTAAATTTGTATCTCAAAGGAAGGCTAATGAAGAGTAAGAAGATGGAGCAGAAAAAAGCAGATCCAAGTCTCACTGAGCACATTAATAAAGTACCTTACAAGGACATAAGAATAACCTGAAGTGACAGTATTATATAAGGAGTATGGTGGTCAAGCGAGAACCCTCAGAAGACAACTTGAGTAAGATCTTGCAAAGGATAGCAAAATAAGCTACAACATAATTTTCCAGTTTTAAATGAAAAACCACAGATATACACAATCAATAACGAATTTTTACTCTGCTCAAATTTACTTAAAAACACACATAGATTTAAGACAATGGATTTGGTCATCCACAGTGCCTCTCTCCAGTCTAACAGTCTCAGATTCACTTGCAACCCAGGAATAACAAAACACACAATTGTCTATCAACATGTAAACATAGAACAGGTGTAAAACTAAACAAAGGTGATAATTTCCATGTTGAAGCTGAACTCCTAGGTATAGGATTCCATTCAGAATTCCCTTCTTAGACACTGTCACTAGGGAAGGATATACAGACTCAGAACCAGCAGCCAAAGAGTTCTTTCAGCAATGAAAAAGCAAAGTACAGTTTACTGAGATGCCAGGAGGTTGCACTGTGTAAGCAAGGAGGTATCTTCAAAACTTTTGCTTCCCTTTTTTATGCCTTTAAGGTCTTCTATCTAAATATTAAATTAATTACAGCTGTCTGATTGTACGAAGTCATGTAGGATCAGAGCACAGGATAGAATACCTATGGGCTAAAGGTAACTTTTGTTGTCTTCAGTGTGGTAATAGGAAAGAAATCAGCCAAAACTCTATCACTAGAAAAAACGTATCCACAAAATACTTATTGATCATATATAAAATTCGTTAAGAACAGAAATTGCTATTAGAAAGAATTAACACATAGCACAAGGTGTTCTATCAAGTGATTACTCAGATATTAACTGTACTCAAAATACTGAGCTTTACTGAGGGTCAGGGGAAATGTGGATCTGCCATGCCACAGCATTCCTCCAGTCTCCCCCTCGCAACAACTCATGTTCTAGTATTATCAATGGAAGTGAAATACTTAAAATATCTAGGTCATTGAATCTTCAAGCAGCAAGGGGGCCCATAAAACAATTAATACTGTCCCATTACGTACTCATTTCAACGTGTGCTTCCATGCATGGAAATCCTGAATAGTGAAGAGAGGGAGTGCTGCAGAAATGAGCACTACTTAACTGACATGGCTACAAATACAAGTATGAAATGATGCCCTCTGCCTACAGAGGTCATAAAAAGCATATAGCATATTCCTACTGTTCCATTATCTTCTGCTACGTGTTCCCTTCTTGAGAGGAGGCCAGCATCCATAGATATGCACAAGCACTTACTCTCCATCTGCCATCAAGAGTTAAGAGCATTTCCCTTTTGCTCTTCCTACCAGGTCATTCACAGCAAAAAGTGCTCTAGTAGAACTGTCTAGTCTGCATCTAGAATACCCACTCTGTTACCTCCGAAAACACAGAAACAGTCGCACATGGGAGGCACCTATTGCATCAGATTACAGAAGCAATATAACAATGACAAAAATAAATCTTATAACAATTGTAACAACACCTTTGAACTTTAGCCTCAGTATATTGGAAACTGAACAGGCTTGGTTTCAATAAACACTGACTAAGAACACTCTAAAAGTATCCCGTTCTAACTCTACAAATTATTCTTAGCTACACAATATAACCTAATTTTATCTCCCTTTGCTACTTTTTAGGAATTGTTCTTCTGATTAAATCCAAGATTCATCCTTAAAGACCTTTCTAGGGAAGCAGAAGTTGACTTGGACATGATTTTCGTCTGCCTCAGTTCTTGCACTCTTCACCAGTGGGAGCGGTAAGTTTTAATATACAAAGTAAGGCTGTTCACACCTTCAGGTGCAAATTCACAGGGCAAATTCAGTCATACTGCTATAAATCCAGAGACATGCTATAAATCCAGAGACATGCTATAAACAGAATTTCAACTGAGACATGTCGGTGCAGAAACAACAGACAAACGCTGTTTTCAAGCTACAGTTGCTTAAAAATCTCTACACAATCCTACTCGCTTATCTTTGCACTTAACAGTTCTGATGCTTACTAAATCAACACATTTTAATTACAGCCAACCTATAGCTAAAGCTACTAACCCTTTTCACTATGAAGACATTCTTTTCGGAAGCAGGCTAACGTCAGTAGCCAAATCTTTACTAAGCTCTTACGCTTCAATAATTACGCTTCAATAATTCAATTATGCTTCATATCAGAGAGCTGAAATTCTCAGCTCTCTGATATGCTTCAGGCTGCATTTCCCAGCTCCATGACTCTCATGTTTCAGAAAAAATTATTCTATCATCTCAGAGTAAGCCTAAGAGAAAACTTAGGTTTACCCATCCTAAATCTTCTACAGATTTTCTTTTTTTTTTAAAGTTACAGAAACCAGCAAATCTATACTTTGGATCCCATAACTTAAAACTGAACAGGAAGGAAGGCAACAAAACATCTCTCTGATTTTAAAACACCTTTTGACACCTCCAAACAAAAGTTCACCCACATTATAAACTTCAAAGAATTCAGGAATTTTGCCAGTCACTTTGAAGACATTAGCCATTCTTTACACAATTTCTGGGGTTACTTAGTGTTATAACTGAGTAAAAGCAGTCAGTAGTGTATACCATACGTAAACCAAAGATTCTTATTTTAAGCTCAAACATAAAGACTATAGTAATCTTTAACAGTATTTACCTATCCTAATAGAATGTTGGAAGGTTTTAATTTTCATTCCTAAGCTACAATTAAGGAGTATTTGAAAACAAATAGCCAAAAAAACCTAACCACCATTACTTGCTGCACATCTTTCAGAAATTAAGCCCTCCCCACTTCTTTCTTCTACATCAGAAATATGCACGAAGTCACGAGCCTTTGCAACCTAGCATATAGGAAAAACAGTAATTCTTTGCTTAGTAATATTTAGGTTTCTCTTTTGTTCTTATTTTATTATTGTCTATCTTGTGTTTCTTATGTATGTAACCATTAGTATATTTAACATGGTGGGATTATTTTCATGACAGAACATACATTACTGAGAAATGATGTTTCAAGAATGTAGGACAGAAGTCAGCCCTGTAAGGCTAAACCCTCAGTCATATCTAGTCGTTACGCAGAGCAGAAACCTGGCAACAAAAATACATGTACCGTGACCTGTGTATTTTAGGACAAGTTGGCAATAAACCCTGCAGCACAACTCCTTACTTCTGCAGGGCACTTCAGCGAAAAATTTTTCCAAAACTGTGTTTACAAACATCTCCATTAAATGAGCTGCACATTTAAATATATGTGAAAGTGAGCAGTAACATATATCTAAGAATTTTCAAAATCAAATAGCTTATTTTTAAATTACTCTAAAATTTTCAGTGGGCTACAGATTTTCTACTAACAATAAATATAAAATTGTATTTTAGAATTAGTTAGCTGAAAATCAGTGTGGATATCTTAAATGAAGCGACCCACAAGCTATTCTAATATTCACCCTTTATCCAGATTGTGCTGGAATTCAGGCATAACTATTAAACAGCTTGCTTTATTTATTTTAAGAAACAAAAGGATAGATAGTTGTCTTCCTACTACTGTGAGCAACAGTACAGGCAATTAGATATTTTCTAAGAGGAACACTTGGACTCTTCATTCTACATACCCTTTTCCCACTTCCCCCAGCCTGAAACCTGTCAAGACATCAGATACTGCCACTGAATATTTCTGAACACAGTTAAGTTTTCACTACAAGAGTAAAAATCAACACAATAAAAACCAGGAGGTCTCACATCTCTCTCTCTCTCGCATCTCAAGACCTCAACCTACACACTTGAGAAGATAATAAAATACATAGGTTATAGTTTGCTTTTATGCTTGTCAGGATTAGGTTAGATATAAGAAAGAAATTTTTCACTCAGAGTAGTGAGGCAGTGGAACAGGCTGCCCAGAGAAGTTGTGGATGCCCCATCCCTGGCAGTGTTCAAGGCCAGGTTGGACGAGGCTTTGGGCAACCTGGTGTAGTGGAGGGTTTCCCTGCCCATGGCAGGGGTGTTGGAACTAGATGATCTTTAAGGTCCCTTCCAACCCTAACCATTCTATGATTCTATGATTAGAAATTCTACCTACACTAAGGAATATTCTGCAGCCAAGACTTGTGACCAAGTAGAGATGTAAAATGTATACTGACTCTGCTCCCAAAGTTTTGCTGGAGTAATTAAAAAACCAGTTGTTTAAGACTTTCCTTGGCCTAATCTACTTACCTTTGTATTTTCAATACACTGTTCACAACTCTCCCTTATTAACTAGATTTTAGGATCTTACATTATCAGCTCTTCAACTGCTCCAGCAATTAGCCTGTTCATACACATTTCTCTGAAATATCCTTCATTTTGTTTATGCTGCTTACTTATAAGAAAAACATGTTCTTCTGTATTTTTCCATGTGATTTGCTCTTACTCATATGGATAAACTAGGGAAGATAAATTATGTGGAGTTCTATTTACTACATCCCACTGAGGTTTTCAGATTCAGGTCAAGTTCTTTGAACCAACATACTGATTTATTTTTTCTTTTATTACTTTCCACAGAAGTACTTCATCAATCAATGGGAACTTCTAAACATTATGTTGACAATGACTTTGAAAAATTACCTCTGATAAAGACGTACAGCATCTTCACGAGTGAATGGATGGCTTTGGATTCACCTACCTTCATATTTACATCCGCTCCGTTACAGACCAGAAGTTCTAAACATAATGCTCCATGTGTTGATGCAGCAGCAAAGTGCAAAGGTGTAAAACCCTTCTCATTCACTTGATTTACATTAGCACCGCAGTCTATGAGTTCATTCACTACAACATCTTGCCCGTTGTAGCAAGCTACATGGAGAGGAGTATTTCCATAGGCATTTGGTTCATTCATCTATCCGAGAAAAATAAAACAGGATTAGTTAGTAGGAAAAACCTGTATATACTGCAGCATTTAATTACGACAGATAAAAATCTTATGTCATGAGACAACTTCTTCATTATGTTTTGGAACTCTTCAAAACCAGAAATTAAAAGGAAGTTCTGGATGTAGTACTTTGGTCGAGAAACATGTACCAGGGAAGAATACGTTTGCTTTACAAGTGAGCCAACCTCCTCCCATTGTCTCCACACAGTTTCCTGTACGCAGTATGCAACTTGACAGAACGCGCATTTGGAAAAAACGTCAACGGTGGCAATTCGCACAGACACTACAGACTAAGCACAGCATGGACCTCTATCACTTTTCAACAGCATTTGCAGGTTTCCGTTAAAGAGAGAGGTCAAAGGGGCTGAGTCTCCCCAAAACAAGTTTTAGGCATTTAAATTTAAAACTCCTAGATGTAGCGTGTGTATGCACACAGGCAGACTTCTCTATGTTATCAAGGACCTGTAGGCTCTGAGTATAACAGGAATTTTAGTTCTCAACTACTTCTAAAACGCAATCACACGCTTTGCTAATGAATTATAAGAGGTGCCACTGTTTACGTATCCAAGATGGTAGTAGTCAAATGATCTCTAAACCAAACAAGATTCTGAAGTATTTATTTCCTTTTTTTTTGGAGAAGGAGAAGGGGAGAGGGGTATAAAAGTAGAATTTGTTGCTGTGCACAACATGATACTGAACTCTGATCTACTTCTCAAGAATGAACTTTGGCAGCATTACCCAGCCCTGTAAGACTAAAACATGATGCACAATGTAGATTTCTTACACAGTTTCAGTTTGTTGTTAACTCACTTTCTACATGCAAGTACTGTACAGCCTTTTTATTTATTTTCTGTTTCAATATTAACATGGCCTTCCTTACTGTACTATTGAAGTTGCTAACAATTTTCAGTATTTCTCAAAACTTAGGTGGTGTAAGAAAGTCAGTAACATCTATATTTTACAAATAAATGAAGCAAAAGAGTTGAATTTCCTGCAGTTCAAAAAGGATTGTGTGGCAAAGCTAGGAACGGAATTCATATTTCCTGAGTTCCAGTACAGTGAACTAAGAGTAAGAAATACCAAATGCACAAAAAAACTAATACATACAAATTAATTTTCAAATAATTGTGCAAAATCTGCATGGCTCTTTGGTTACCTGGGGGAATGAGGTTTTACAACAAAAAGACATATGAATGAAGATATTTGGAAATGCTATTTTCACTGTATCATAATCTGTCCCTAAATAAGCAGTGTGCTACAATACCAAGAGCAGCATTTCAAACAGCAACAAAAAAATACATATCACTACATTCTATTCTTCCTTACATCAACTCCAAGATCTAGAAGATATTTGACTACACTGATCATCCCACTAGATGCTGCAGCATGTAAGGGTGTATATGATTTCTTGTCTTTGCATGTCACTTCAGCTCCTTGGGCCACAAGTAATTTCACAACTTCAATATGACCTAAAAGAATGAAGAGAAAAAGAATGAAGCTGCATTTTACATTAGTGAGCAAAAGTTTACAAACCTAGTAATCATACAATTGTTATAACATAAACAACATATTATTCATTTGGACCTAATCTGGAAAATAAAGTATTATTCTTGTATTCTAATTGTATCATGAAATATAAGCAGCATAAAATATTCATCTCTAGAAGAGAGTATTTCCACGTACCCTCTCCAATAATCACATTATTCATACAAGTAATCTTGTATATTGAAAAAAATAATCTTGTCTTCATCTTTTCTTCTGCTCACACAGAAGGATTTTTGGGGAAGATTTCAGAACTCAGAGGTGAAATGACTTTGCAATTATTTAACATCTACTGCAAATTTCTGTTAACAACTTGAGAGAGAATGAGACTGTCAGTCTTCCACATTCACCTCAACTGCAAAGATACCTGTTAAGGTTTTTAAGGCTTTCAGTATAAACTTGGAAAAAATTACACAAACATGAAAAGAAGAAAATATTCTATTTTAAGATAAAAATATTCCACTCTCCTTCCAACTTCCTTTACTAGCAAAGCCTTTAAATTGTTGACCCAAATCATATGCGATTTAGCAAATCTCTATTTTCAAAACCATCTTAGCTCTTTGAGGAACTGTAGCCTTTTGAAAGCATCAACTATTCTCCTAAGTTATCAGGAAGAGAGTAAGAGTCAAGCGGGATCATCAGGAAGGGATGACCTGGGGGAAGTTCCAGGTAACAGGGTGGAAAGCCCACCCTGCAGCAGCGGGCAGTCGCCCTCACCACCAGCTTTGTGGCTGCGCCAGGGGACCCCACATCGCATCGCTGCTGCAAGGGGCAACCCCACTTTCCCCTCTGCTTCCCTTCACCATGCCTGCACGCTCCCCCACTTGCTTGCTATGAGAAATGCTACGAAAATGAGGCAATCGAAAAATCTACTGCTCTTGCTCAGCTGTTAATTTAACCACCAAACAAGTCAACGGCTGAAAACACACAGATAATCATGCCAAAGTATCAGAATAAAGGAGCACACTTCAGTTAAATAGTCCACAATAGATTTAGTGCTTTACCTTTGTAACTGACCCATAGACACGTGTCTTGGCGTTACCTTTCAAGTGACACCCTTGCCTTACTTAAAAAAGTGGTGAGAGGCACGCTGAATACTCGCGCTTATCCAATCAGATATGTAAATAAAAAGTATCAAATCCAGTCTTCAGTTTAACAGCGCTTCACAAAAAGTGAGGGTCTTTGCTTTTTCAATGACTGAGAGAACTTGCAAAAGTTTGAACAGGAAGTGTCTACCCAAAGGAATACAGACAAAGCTGTTTCGATAAACATTCAGTCACCATGTTGCATGCACGACAACATACAAAATGACCCTTCGCTTAGCTATATCCATCAGAAGCATACAGCGTTTACCCGTGCCACACGAAGTGCTGCAGTATGTGACTTCTGAATTACTTCAGTATTGTAGGAAAGAAGAGAAAGAGAAATGTAAACACGATAACTCATCTTCTGACCCAAATTTGCAGGGGACAAAAATGAAAACAAGCCATATATGAGAGACAGAAGTACAGAAGATTTGAAAGCGGGGAAAGGAAGAGAGATGCTGAACAGAAGAGTGGTAGAAAAAACTTTAAAGAGAAGAAAAAAATAATAATAAAAAAATCCTGACCTGCACTGAAAACGCAAGCAGCAATCAGTGGAAGACGCTCAAACAGAAGAGCAAGGTACTTGAAGCGGGAAGCACTGAGCAGACATCCTGATACATAAAGGAGGGCGATGCTAACACGCACAAATTAAAGTCCACTTTTGTCACAGCATTGCAGCTGGACAGCAATGGAGCCGGGTAAAAAGCAGGAAGGAAGGGAAACAATGGATATAACCCTAGAAAGTTATTTATAGTAGACTGACGAAAAGCACAACTTCTTTTTTTTCTGTGGTGAGTTTTATACGATGGAAAAGCTTTAAGATTTTCTTCAAACAACTGGAGCAGAGTAAAATAGCTCTAAACTGAGAGAGGGAATGACATGGGTTTTTTTTCCCCTGTTGGAACACTTCTTTTAAAAGCTTTTTCTACTCTATTGTCTGCAAGGATATTCAGGTTGATCGACGTCAGATAAATTACATTTTTCCTACCCAAACACAGTTCATTAACTTTTTCCTTTTAGTAGCCTATGAAATAGCACTGACAAAATTAGAATAAGCATAGCTTACTTGAAAAATAGAAGACTTTTCCCTAACCTACGAGAGCACAAGCTAGAAAACATCTGTCTCTGCCATCTCACACACAAGTTTCATTCAACAAAATTTTGCAAATAATCACCTTGTGTAAGGTGGTGGGCAGCCTGTAGCAGACTTTGCTTTGCATAAGTAAGTCGATAACAAAATAGTAATACAAAATATTGCAAAGAACTTGGATCAATAATTAAGATTGTTCTTTAACTTCTTGATTTCAAGTACTGGTATCAACACTTGAAGTGCAGTATCATACCGCTTCAAATTTTAAGTTATAGTGTTAATGCTGTGACGATCACTTCATAACTCACTGGCACATTCAAGTCCTTTTCTCTGAAGACAGTTCATCAGGGTCCTGTTGTTCTTTTTAGCTTTCACAGCCTTACTTTATGTTGCTATCAAATTATTTCAGACCTGTATTGTCAGTGACATAAGACTAATGTAAAATCATCCTGAAACAGAGCTCTGCAAAGTCAACAGTTGATAATTCCACTTTTGTATGAATACAGGTGTTTGTGAGAAGGTCACTCTTAGAATCACAGAATGGAATCATAGAATCGTTTAGGTTGGAAAAGACCTTTAAGATCATCAAGTCCAACTGCTAACCTAACACTGCCAAGTCCACCACTAAACCATGTCCCTAAGCCCCACATCTACATGACTTAAATACTTCCAGGGATGGTGATCCAACTACTTCCCTGGGCAGCCCGTTCCAATGCTTGACAGGCCTTTTGGAGAAGATATTTTTCCTCGTATCCAATCTAAATGTCCCCTGGTGCGACTTGAGGCCATTTTCTCTTGTCCTATCGCTCGTCGCTTAGGAGAAGAGACCAACACCCACCTTGCTACAACCTCCTTTCAGGTAGTTATAGAGAGCAGTAAGGTCTCCCCTCAGCCTCCTTTTTTCCAGGCTAAACAATCCCACTTTCCTGAGCCACTCCTTGTAAGACTTTTTCTCCAGATCCTTCACCAGCTTTGTTGCCCTTCTTCGGATGTGCTCCAGCACCTCAAGGTCTATCTTGTAGTGAGGGGCCCAAAACTGAACACAGTACTACTTGGGGTGTGGCCTCACCAGTGCCGAGCACAGAGGACGATCACTTCCCTCGTCCTGCTGGCCACACTACTTCTGATACAAGCCAGGATGCTGTTGGCCTTCTAGGCCACCTGGGCACACTGCCAGCTCACATTCAGCTGGCTTTTGACCAACACACTCAGGCCCTTTTCCACAAGCAGCTTTTCAGCCGCTCTCCCCCAAACCTGTAGCATTGCCTGGGGTTGTTGTGACCCAACACTTAGCCTTGTTGAACTTCATGCAGTTGGCCTTGGTCCATTGACCCAGGCGATTCTTTTACAACCGTTGAGATCTTACAAATAAGCCCAATTTTGTAAATATGTGGTTTTGCATTTGTAAAGACCAGAATTCTCAGTGCTCAGACCAAAGCACATTTCATACAATGAACAACTCATTATCAACCCTCAAAACTCAGGGTAAGGTTTTTGGTGACTGTATTTAAATGGGTGCTGCCCCATATGGCTCTGTTCTTTTGTTTTGCTTGGTATGTAAGTTTAAAATTGTGTTTCCACTTTTAAGTTAACTTTTAAGTTGCTTCCATTTGCTCTTATGTGGCAAGAATCGGAGACGTTTCTTGGATAAACGTCACAAATCCAAAGCAGTTATAGAAGATACTCAATGCCACAGAATCACAGATGAGAAGTATGTTTAATTAGCAACCTTAAGTGTGTTTTTAAGAACCACTTCTCTCATGCATACACATTGCAAAACATGCCTATTTACAAGTAATTCTCTCATCCATAATAATGAGCATTAATACCAAACTACATATCGAGGGACATTTTGCCTAAGATCAGACCTCCAAAGCAAAGTTATCCTAGACTTAGAGAAGTCAACATAACGAGTCCATGTAATTTCCTAGTTTACATGTATTTATTTTTTGGTTTGATACCAGATAGTAAAATTATTTTTTGTTACTCAGAGAAGAAAGAGTATAGAAATTACTCTCCTTGTATATTAACTTAAAATGTTTGTCAAAAATACAAGGTACTTCTTTGTAAACCCTATATATGAAGGCTTTCATTGAGACAGTCATTTCAAGTAGTATTTTCCTCTTGCAACTGGATTAAAAACATTGACATCTTTAGACGACCTCTGAAAAAAAAAAAGCTGTCAGAAAGAATAGGACCATGTTCTCTTCCTGTTCTTAAGTTTCATAAGATGGTATCTTAGGCACATATATATGTGTATGTATTTTCTAAAGAATTTAAAACTTAGGAAAGTGCAGATCATCAAAACATAGCAGAAACACAAAATTACATATAATAAAGTCTTATTTCCCCATTTCATGTTTGAAGAAATTCCCAGGCATGCAGATTCATACAACACTGATCCCACTGCTTTTAAACTTCTCCCTTGGCAGGATAAGATTATGAAGCAATAAGCTAAAGTACTGAATACAATCAAGACCATGGAATCATCTTAACCGGCTTCTTCCTGAAACTAATACTGAAACTTAATTGTTCACCGCTTATACACAACACACGTTGCATATGTTCAAGGGCATTTTTAGACATTTTCTGGAAGTTAAGAGGCATTATGTTATTTGGCTTCTGAAGAGGTACAACATATTCCGCAATGCCAAATACACTCAGCAGTTGCATGTGAATTACTTAGAAACGCAGCGATTAGCCAAAGCTAAGAAGTCTTTGCCATGTTAGCATAGAACTCAATCTGCATTTTCTATGATTCACCTTCCAATTGTTTATATTGCTCAAATGTTAAATGAAGCTTGAGATACAAAGCTCTACTATTTATTATAGATATGCTGAAGAAAACAATTCCTACCACTTAATAAAGTGAAAGTCTGATAAAACGCAATGAAGTACATCACTCTTGACAGTACTGCCAGTGCATTGATCAATACCATAAGAACAATAATTATCCACTCCTGGAATAAGAATGGTAAGGCAAGAATTTGGAATTTTATAGATCAAATTTTCTTTTAAAGTATAATCCCCAAGGCTGGTATAATGATCCTCTGTTCGAGGTGCCCCTTGTATTAATTGCTTACTTTCTATTTAGCATTATTGCAAAAGTTTTCACCTGTGATTAAACCCCTGGTGATTGAGAAAAATAGGAGGTTTTTTTAAAGAACAAAATTACTTACTTTACTTTTCTTTTTCCAACAAATTGATTTTCTCACCACAAAACACATTTGCAAGGCAATCTGAAGTATACTACTAATGGTTTTCTGGCAGACGCACAGATAACCTCAACACATATAATTTAAGTATTTTTCCTAGAAATATATAAAACTACTAAACACAAGGTGATTTTTTTTTTTTTTTACTACCAACATAGTAATCAACTGAAATATGTACATACCCATATATGCTGCCCAATGTATAGCTCGTCTGTCTTTCTTGTCAAATGCATTAATATTGGCCCCTCTAGACAACAGTAAGCTGACCATCTGAGATAAACACAAAGAAAAGAAATCCTCTATTAATATGAAAAGCTCTGCTTAAACTTAGACAAAGAAAACAAAAATATATGTGTTATCAAAGGATTTAAATGTGTTGGTTTTTGAATATTCCATAAGCTTGAAAAAACTGGCTGCTCACCTTGGCAGCAATAATGAAGCAATGGTAAGAAACACAAAACTCCCATGTCAACAATAAATTTCCAAATTAAAGAGTCAAAGAATCTTTGAAATCTTCAGGCCATTACTAAGGGATTCACTAAAGGCAATCACTAAAATCAAGTGATCAAAATCAATCACTATTGCCAATCTGTCTCCAATTACTTATACACAATCACAATGGGAATTTGTCATCAGTCATTTTTCAGGGGTCAAAAACTAGCGAGATAAAGCTTATGACATGTATTCCCTCCACATTTTGGTGACAACACATTCCATATGTTCACTATCTACTGAACAGAAAAATACTGTTTTTCCATTTTAAACTTATCTGTTACTAGTTTAACTCCAGTTGAGTCAAGCAAATTTGCTCTGCCTTAAGAAAGGTGAATGCTGAAATAACCTTCCAACTAAATGATGTAACATGTATTTTCCACAACCATTCTATAAGATGTATACAAAAGACAAATACAAGCACAAAGTAAAGGTTAGGTTTTTCTGAGGGGACAGGGAAACATGATTTTAAACCAAGAAACTAAACATTAGAAATGTGTGGGACAGAACGACAAGTGGGAAGCAAGCTAAGAAAAATAACTCTTACCTCAACGTGTCCACTGAAGGCTGCATGATGCAATGCAGTTCTGCCTGCTCGATCAGACACATTTACATTGCTTAGAAGAGGCACCAAAGCTTCAGCACATTTCACAGCTTTGTTTGCAGCTGCTATATGTAGGGGTGTCTGCCAGTTTTTATCACGAGCATTGACATCTGCTGAATGCTTTAACAACACCTGAACAGCATCCTGAAAAACATTAACAAAAAAAAAAAGACAAGCCACTTAGTAAAGATTTGAAGTGCCAGCCTTAAATCCAAGGAATAGAACTATTTGCAATTTGCTCTTTTGTAAACATCATCAAATGCTTTGGGATTTGTAATTTATCACAATTCCAGATTTGGGGATGTTCTCAAGAACATGAGCAATATACTCCCTATAGAATTCAACTAAATCAACCATTTCCAGGTCTTTTATCCAGTTTCTTAAGCCAGCTGGCAAACTGTTTTGTCATCACAACTCATTTCCAAAGCTCAATAAACCTCCTTAGGATTTCTTCCATTGCTAAGGATTAGTGAAGTACTATGAACTTATGACGCATTTTCATCAATTTGCCAGGCAAAATTTTTGAACTGTCAAAGTCAAGAAGTGATAAAGAGAAGAACAGCTTATTAAATGTAGATTTAAAGAACCACAGACAAAACAGAGCATGGTCATAAAAAGTTTCAACATACACTGTTGCAAAACTCCCAAAAAACATTTCAAAACATTGTACTAAATTCCACCTTACAAAAAGTTAATTCATTTCCTTCTGTTAAATGTATGAGCTGTGAAAATTTGACAAATAAGACTGTAATCCTTACAGCAAGATAAACAAATGCCACTAAAATATGTGCACAAAATTGGAATGCATAAAAAAAAATAATCTGTTGATGTCATGACAATGAATACTGCATTTTACATTAACTCCATGACCTTCCAATAATTCACTAATTGCTTTCAGTGACTTCCAACTCAAACACTGAACACACAAATAAATGGTTGGCATTTGAACTTAAAACATGCTACCACAAGTAGCTACTGAAAATTTCCAATTACATTGTGGTACAATAGCTAGGTATTTTTCTCAGCTATAAGCAGAATGTTGAGTAACACTTGATTCTATTTATTACAATAAATTATATTTAGTATACTCAAATTTCTTCTACTGTCATTAAAAAAGAAGATAGGAACAAACATAAAAGTGAAAATACTGCATCACAGAATTGTAATTTAGAAGAGAAATAGAACAGCTCTTCTGTAAGAAACTTAAGTAGATTTAATACCTTAAAAATCTAATCAATATTTTGAAGTTTTTGTCTTTTTTGAACTAAATATTAAGAAAAACCATAATCAGAACAAGGAAATTTTAGAACAGCTATTACCCCTTTTGTAGAAGGAGGCACTATAGTAGTAGTATAAAAATAATGTATCATATTTTTATGTGCATATGCATTAATGAATTTCAAGAATTAGTGAATCTGCTTAGGGTTTCTTCTTTTCAAAGTACTTGTGGCACACAAACATAAAGGCCTGAGGCATGACTATCTTGACATGAAGTTGCTTGAACTTGCACAGTTGACAGATAAATCCATAATTCCAGCTATTTTGCATGTTTCAATGTTCTTGTTTAATTGCACCTGTCCTTGCTTCAAGAGTAAGTCCAGATGTTTTACTGAAATCATTCATCAAGAGTTTTTTCATTACAGCTTTTTTTCATCTAACGCCCTAAACCCATGTATGTCTGTCATCTGGAAAACAGTGCCTACACGTATCAACCACATATGTGGACTCCAGTGACTTACTGTGTTTATAAATAGAAAATTCTGACATTTCTATCATATAATCATAGAATGGTTAGGGTTGGAAGGGACCTCAAAGATCATCTAGTTCCAACCCCCCTGCCATGGGCAGGGAAACCCTCCACTACACCAGGTTGCCCAAAGCCTCATCCAACCTGGCCTTGAACACTTCCAGGGATGGGGCATCTACAACTTCTCTGAGCAACCTGTTCCACTGCCTCACCACCCTCAATGTAAAAAATTTCCTCCTTGTATCTAATCTAAATCTCCCCTCTTTCAGTTTAAAGCCATTGCCCCTTGTCCTATCACTACACGCCCTTGTAAAAAGTCCCTTCCCAGCTTTCCTGTAGGCCCCCTTTAAGTACTGGAAGGCTGCAATAAGATCACCCCGGAGCCTTTTGGGTAAATAGTCCGATTGGTTTACATGTGTTGGTTGCCTTTGGTTAGCATTTTGTTTAAAATATTCCACATTTTAAAAGAATGACCATGGTTGCATTTCTTGAAGCTATCATTTAGGTCCAGTTTGTCTGTAGCACTCCTCTCTGCAAGTGTTACTCATATGAAGAGCTTTAACTGCCCCTCAGCTCTGAAGAATGCGGCATTTGGTGCTTTGGTCTGCTCTTAAAAGAGCAGCCTAAAAATACCTCAAGAAGAACAAAGAGCATTTGGGAATGAGGTGCCTTCGAAGATTCATTTTCAAACATTGTTTTGAATAACACAGTCTTCACATAATTTAGCTATTAATACTAGTGACAAAATATTGCAATTTATCCAAGGAATTCAAAAGCAAAAACTGAAACAAGGCTTGTTTTACACAGAATCTTTAAAAAAAAAAAAATCTTTACTTTTTGAGACACACTGAAATGAGCATTGATTATTCAGGATCTCAAACGAGATAGTTTTGCATAAACTCTTCCACACAACAAGCTCAGCATTTCTGATTGTTTTGATCTTCAACAGGCATTTAAAATTTTTATTAGGACATCAACAACAAAGGAACGATAACAGATTCATTTCTTACATTACTGTATTCTCACAACTGTGTAACTGGTAGACTTCAAAAAATCTTCTACGTATTTAATTTATAACTTTTAAAGTGATTTTCAATACTATCATTACTCATTAATCACTTTTAAAAAAAAAAAAAAAAAAAATGTTTGCAGGCCTTATAGAACCTTTTATTTTTTCAGTGCCTGAACAGACAAGCACATAAAAAAATAAATGGAGAAATGCAAAGATTATGCTGCAAAATCTGTACTAAATCTTATATCATCGCTACTTCCCTCATGCTGAATCATTCTGATTATTTTAAGAGAAGAAAACTGGACTTGAGAACATTGCACACAGGATCCTCTGCTACAGAAATGGCAGAGAGCAAAGCTGAGAACTGGAAGTTTATAGTTTTCCCCCTTTCTTCCTACTCAGGCATGTGATATATATACACACATACCCTCAACAGGTTAAACAAACTGTTGCAAAAATGTTCTGCAATTCCAAACATTTGGAGTAGTTTCACTTTGTACAAACCGAACAAAGAACAGAAGGTAATTTGAGATGTCTCATTTTAACACAACACAAAAAAATCCAACATACCTCACTACAAGATGCCACAGCTCTGTGTAAAGGAGTCAACCATTTGCTGTCTTTGGCATTAACTCTAGCTCCTGTAACAAAACATAACAGATATTTGCAATATATTTACAGAAAGACTTAAATACTTTCAAGCACAGAGATAGAACTTATTGGAAGATACTTATTCTAGGCTCGCTAATACAGCATGATGCTAAGAAATGGAAAGGAGTCTTTTCTCCAGCTGAAGTCCACCCTTTGAGGAAATTCTTGTAACACGGCACACATAATACTCTTCCATCAAAGCGTACTCATCTGTTTACACTGGGTAATCCTCTATAATCTTTGGCACTCCCAAAGGTACATAAAAGACTGCTGGGTAAGACAGACAGACTCCTTGCCTTCATTCAGCAACAAAAATCTCATACTGTCCCACTATAGTTGAAATTCTCCATTAGAAGAGAAAGAAGCTTCATTTATTCTTCATGCCTCCAGTTTCTGGTGGTTGGTGAATCTGATGCATAAGTATATAGAATGATGCTGCTGCTTCTACTGGGAGTTTGGGAATGAATCATCTCTGTTCCACAAGGTCACCTAGCCCACTTCAAGATCTCCTGGACCTCCCTTCATGAGCTAGACTGTAACAACCACACCTCTCTGCTTCTAAAGGTATACCCAAGAAAGAGCTGTCCCCATGCCCAGGAAAAAAGGTCACACAAACATCTGTAAGGGACACAATCTGGGTTTGTGTTTTAATTTTTTTCTTAATAATAAAAGGAAAAAAAGGATTTGAGGACTTTTTTCATGAAGGAAGCAAATGAACTACATTCTGACTTCCAGGGAACTTCAACAAACAAGAAAACTTAATGACTATGCTTAATAATTTAATTTCTTACAGATATATACACACACACGTATATATACATATAAAACCTTACAGTTTTTATACCTTGAGTGGAAATTTAGCCATCTTTACTTGAAAACTGCTGAGATTTTACAGAGATGTGACAGCTTAGACAAAACGTTATGTTTTTGAAAAAAATAGTTTGGAAATACCGTTGGAAAGAGATCACAGAGCAATGTATGATATCACACAGTAACATTAATGCTACATGGTCAGAGCTTATTAACTTCTCAGGCTAAACGTAATATTGTTATGTTAGAACCAACTTTATTTTTTTCTATGCAAAGAATAGAAAAAGATGGAAGGCCAGTAAGACACGAAATGTCAAACAGGCTGCTGGTTGGGGTACTCAGCTGAGAGACAGGGTATTTTGATCCAAGCCTCCGCAGCCTGCAACCAGCAAACTATTTCACTGTCCAGTTGAACAACCTGACCAGGAAACTTAGCAGTCTGTACAAAATTGTGGCTGTATATACTAAGCAAACCAATGATTTAAAGTCAATTCTCTGAGTTAATCAGCTTCTAGTCAAACAATCCCTTTCAGGCTTAAGAACACAACATGGAAGCTGATGCTGGATCCAAACTCCCATTTTACCCTAGCTCTTCCATGTGCCAGAGAGGGCCTGAGGTCTAATTGCTAGCTAGTTTCAGGGATTTCCCTCTTTCGTTATCCAAATTTCAGAAGCTTTGGGTGTCATCCTATTTTGCAAGTTCAAAAATTTTTGGAAAATAAGTTTGAAGGAATGGGAAGAAAGCCCATTTTGAAGAAAATCTCCACAATCTAACAGCAGTTTAAGAAACTTAATCTTACCATAAACATCTGCTTTTGTCAACCATCATAAGGACCTAGCATACTGCTCCGTATCATGTACGATAACATAATGTACTGTACCAAATTCTTCACAGAACTCGAGCAAAAAAAGAACTTGAGGATTCTAAAAGTTACGAAATGTCTTAAGATTTTTGGTAACCCTTCTCAAAAGACAATAACCTGAATGATCAGTAAGCGAAAACGTAATCAATATATTTCAAACATACACGTAATTCTCAATTGTCTTCCAGGTTATTGCTAGCTACACCTTGTTTTTAGCAGATGAGAAAAATAAGAGCCAAAATGGTACTCCAAGCTCCACTTGACCTCACGTCTACAGCCAACAACCAACTAATTAAGACTTTCAAAGTCCAACTGGTTTCTATGTCTAATTTTAGGACATAAATGCCTTTCAAGTGTTTTAAAGGAATTAAGGGAGTTACTAGGTTGCTAATTACTATCCTGATTTTCCTCAGGAAAATGCATTTGCAAGATTTGATGTCAGGTCAGGTCCACTCAGGTGATGAAGGCTGAGGTAAGAGAAGCACCATGCCCAGCAGAACGGGAGAAACGTATGTTTCCACTCCAAGGAAGCAGCAGTTACCTAAGCTCTAGTGAAAATGTACTTAAAGTCCAAGCTGTGTTTATGGGTTCAGCTAAGTCATTCACTGACTTGTGAACAAGTACAAGAGTCTCAGAACAAGAATAAATACAAAGAGATGCTGTACAAGAGGTTTTCCCAGGGGTAAGTTAATCAAACCTGCTAGGTCTAAAGAAAAGAATATCTGAAAGTGTTTTGTTGTTTCTGGTAAGAAAGAAAATCAGCATTAGCCAAAGAAATGGCTAAAGAAATTTGAAGTGATAGCTAAAAGTAACTTGGTCCTTTCAAAAGAACATCATCAATACAACAATATCTGACCCCACCCTGTAAGTGATCTGCCACCCAAAGAAGCAAGAAAGCCTAGGTTTAGTATATTCCATAGTTAAATTAGTGTAACACGTAGACACTAAAATTAGTTAACTTTTCAAATGCACAAAAAGTCTGGAGATTCTCCGACCAAGAAAAAAAAAACAACCCACAGTTGACTTTTGACAAAAGATTTAAATCTCTGATGGACTGGCTTAAGAAAGAACCATCAAGGTTACTTCCCCACCGTACCCCCAACAAACAACTCTTAAAGGAATTCCAAAATTGTTAGCTTGAAAGACAAAGGTTTTAAGTAATAATGAGAATAAGCATACTGCCAAAAACCATGTGCACTATTAATGCAGGAATTGGGACATCTGTAGCTCTAGATACGTTAAAAAAAAAAAGTTTTAAATTAACATGGAAATATTTCCCCCTTAAATTTATCCAGTAAGACATGCTGTCAAGAATGATTTGAATTTCATAAAACAGCTTCTCCAAACAACTTTGCATGTGAGGACACAATCCCCCTCTAGGCTGTTCTTTACTCCCTAGCACATCATTTGGGGAAAACGTTACTGTTCCTCCCTCTCCTTCAGCTGCTCACCATGAGACAAGGCTCCCTCAAATCTATCATACTCCTACCATGCAACAGTGAGGAAGTTTGCAGCCTTCATCCTCTGGGGTAAAGCTCTGCTCTAGATCATTGCAAGTAAGTGTTAGAAAATATACTACACCTTTACTGACTATCTTTTGCTTAAAGACGATTTGCTTCACTGTTTCCTTAAAGACAGTTTGAACACACATGTATATAATTCACTGTACAGCACTGCCGATGCAATATTATCTCTGCGAAGTTCAGCCTGCTTATATGTTAACCAGGCCACTTGTAACATTTCAAAGGCCGGTTATGCAGCAGTTTGCTCTTCAAAACACAGTGCAGCATAAAAACAAAAAAGCAAAAAAAGCCTCTACAACACAGGAGCTTCCAAACTGCAGGGGCCTGGCCTTACCATGTTTATTAAAGCTGCTCAAATATTTTATTTGTTTAAAGTAAAATTTATTATATTTCAGTTCTTTTAATGCCATAGAACTTTCAGGAAAAGAATCTGAGGGCTTGCCAGAGATACAACACTGCAACACAAATGCCCATCATCTTTGCTTGAACTTAAGAACTGATTGTGTAAAGGACACTCCCCTAAAACTCCACTTTCCAAACAAACCAACTTATTCTTCCATATTGGCGCACTAAACTTAAATTAACTAAACAAGATCTCCACTTTCATCACCAACTTTGCTAGTACAGCCTAGTAAGTTCACACACCTAGGCAGATAAGCAAGCAGGATTTGTTCTGTCTGCAAAAAGTTGGGAGAGGGGGGTGGCGGAGAGAGAGAAGTATTACATATTTTTCTTCTCTCCTCCTTGAATCTTACATTTCATTTTCCAAAGTTGCATTCACAAGACTGACAATTGGAAAGACGTTTTATTTACACATTTCCCAATGCGAAACATGCACTGATTTAGAGAACAATCCTGGAAACTTTAATTATGTCAGTCCATATCTGGCAATTGCACGTTTAAATGTGCTATTAGACACCAACACCTGGACATATGTTTCTGCAATCCAGTTGCTACTTCATTTGTGTCAACATCCTTGCATTCGAGTAAGAGCTAGCATCTCAACCATCTCTTGAAGAGATAGGCAATGTATGACTGGGCAGGAAAAGCTGCAAGGAACAGCCACATACCGCCTCCTTCATCCATAAAAGTGCCATATAGCTACATACAGCCACGTCTCAGCACGTCACCTCTGTGCTCCTCTTGCAAGAGCTTTTGCTGTGTCTGTCCTCCTGAGCTACTCTGCACCAGAACTGTTCCTATTTGTAAATGTCCCCAGAAGACTAATGAATGCAGCCGCTACATCACTTATGCGTCACTAGCTAGAAATAGATTCAGAAAAGAAATACAATAGAACTGACATGACATTTTCATCTTTGCTTACAATACTGTCTTAAGTACTGAATTGCCTTCCACTGTTCTGTTTGTAGTCTGTATTTTTAGACTGCCAAGGACGGTGTTTTCCTTTTTATTACACAAGATGTGGTAGCGACTGAACAATATCATAACATAAACAAATAAAGTAAAAGTGTTTTCATTCACATATGCAATACAAACACCTGATGTTCAGTATTTGAAGCTCTAAAATGTTTATTTAGGAGTAAAAGATGTACATAAGATCTTTAGATTGTATTTTAAAAAGCTAACAAACTTTGTCTAAACAACTAGTATATTGAAATAATTTTAGAAATGATCTTTGCAAAAATTAGGAAGATCCCAGGTATAAGTCACTGAGCATAACCAGCAGTCCTACTGTAATTATACTGTAATTATTTTCCTAAGGGCTAGTATTAGCTTCAGAAGTTTCTCCTTTTTAAAATGATCCACTTTTTATCTAGAGAAGATGATCATGGAAGTACTTGAAGTGGCAAGCAGAAATTTTCAGACTACACTGGGGAATGAACACATGGTGAAGAAACTTTTCCTTAGATAGAAAAGTATGTGAATATGCAGGAGGGGATACAGAGAAAGTTTGTAAAGTAGAAGAAGATTTGAGATGTGACTTGAAGCAATCTGTAATAGAAATCTAGGGTAACTTCCTATTGAAAACTTGGATACTAGGAAAATTATTGTTGCAAAAATAATGAATAAGACTTTATTGAGAGAAAGCTTCTTCCTATTTATAAGCTAAATGCACAGTAAAGGATCTATAGAATAGTGAAAAAAATCTGACAGGGACAGGACTGGAATACCTTTTGACCAGCCACAATGATGCTTCAAGAACATTTTGTTATTTTTATTGTTTAAAAAAGAACAAACAAACAGAAAAACCACCACCAACACCCAACCCCTCAAAAAAAACCAAAACACACATGGAGATACACTGGACTCAAAAGGGAGGAAAACCACAATCAAGTCAAAGCCATCCTCCAGAACTTCACTGCCTTGCCAATGTAAGTCTGTTTCCTTTCAGAACTTCATAGTTTCTGCCACATCTCAGCCAGCACCTCCTCGAACTTCAGAGAGCAACATGAGGTTCTTGGACTCCTCGAGCTACTGAACACTTCTACCTTCTCATAAGTCAGCTTCAGTTTCTCTCTCAAAGAGCATCAGAGCTACATTTTTCACAGCAACTGACCATTACTGCTGCCAGAGGGAAGTTAAGGCAGCTTGAAAAATAAAACTGTGGCCAACATCATTGTCAAGGAAGAGGAAGCGGCCAAGAGATACAGCCAGGGTAAAAGGAGCCCCTGTGAAATGCCTTCAGCATATGGGTACATCTGCCACCCAAACAACAAAGCGAGCTTCATGCAGCGGTAGCCTTTCAACAGCTGAGCTGTGCGACTGTCATTGCATGGACTTTTAATGCTTGCATAGCTTTAAATTAAATGAAAGAATCACACGTAGAGTGGAGTAATGTTGGACAGTCTTTACTGTACTCCAAAATCTGTTATTACTGTAACAATTATTACTGTTTTCCAGTGTCAGCACGATTCCTACATTTTCCAGCTGACCCAGAGGAAAGCCCAACAAGAACTCCTGAGCTGCCAAACCTTAATGAGATTGAGTTTGACCACACACTCATGTATGCTGAGCTCTGTGCAGTGAAAATTTTGGGCTAAAACAGAAATGTGTTGTGTTAGTATTTAAATATCAATGCAATACAGTAACTACATCTATTCAAAAGAAAACAACAGATATTTCAGATGTTTATTTTCATGAATTACGTTGATTTCAGTGAAAGCAATAATATTCTGCATGGTATTTTTAAGAAAACGCATGAAAAAAGTTACTAATCAACACATTCTGGGACCACACTAATCTGTCCTGCTCCTCACGTCACTTGCCTTCAGAACAGACTCTGATGCATTAAAAAACAACACAGGACAAACAGAAAGAACGATTTTTCATAAAGCAAGAAACCTCCCAAGAACAGTTCAAGTGCAGGACTTAATTGAAAGAAGGGTTTGATTTTTTTATCAGGCCTTCTTGGAAAGAAAAAAAGGGCCATTCAGTTATTTAAGACTTAATTATTTTAATTTTCTGCTTCTCAGTAGTTTGCTGTCAAGTACGTACACAATTAAAGTCAGTGCAATTATGCAAAGTAGACAGATGTATTTGTGCACCAGGATGCAGAGTTGTACGTACATCATAAAATCACAACTGTGATGGGTGTCAATGACCCTTCGGAGTAATAAAAAGAAGAAAATGCTTCCAAAATTATGATTCTCAAGTGACTAAAATATGATCTTTTGTTCCATCCTTCTGTGTACTATAAAGAAACATCTTTATGCCTCTTTTTTTATATATAAAGATATAACAGCAACATATGATCCAAAATACATATTTGAAAGCAACGTGGATAACCTGCGGGAGGGTGCAAAAGAAATTCCAATCAAATTAAAAAAGACTGTCTAGGTAACATACGATACACACTTTAACTAAGAATAGAGAATAATGAGAAATAATCAGATAAGAGCCACTAAGTAGCTGCAAGATTAATATTGACTTCAGTAATTTTGAGGTCCAGTTTGAAGAAAGAATAAAAAAGTCAAAGCAAACAGTCTTCACAGGATAGCTTTCACAGCAGGAAATCTGCAAAGTGACTCCTAGTAAAATTCCAGCAAAACTACATTAGAGGGCATTACAGGTTGCACAAGGTGAGAAATACTAGGATTAAAGTAATCTACACTATTTAATTCAATCCCTTCTGCAAATACATTACAATAGGTAAATTAAAGCCACATACAAAATTTTTACACGCAAATTTACTGCATGGAAGAGACTTGTTCAGAAACATTTATTCAACAAACTGTTTTGTCATTGTTCAAAAAGAGGTCTTGCAACACACCAAGCATTCTTCAAGCCTTGCTGTGGTAACAGATGTTCTTTATTTGCTCCCTAATGCTCATCCATTATGACAAGATGTAACATTATACATCTGTCTCAAAGGAGAGATTTGATCTCCAGCTGAAACACAATAGATTAATTTTCTGTATCCTTATGAAATTGAGAAGATAAATACCCTTAACCTCTGTTCCCAATCTTCCAATTAAGAAAGTTAAAAATTCTTGGCTTGTGCATTTGGAGACACCTAGACCTGATTTCTCAGAGTAGTAGCTGGTACAGTACTTGAGAAAGAGCTATGAGTGCTCATGCTTTCCAAACCACAAAGACTTCAAATCCAGCATTTAGAAAAGAGGAAGACTAAATTGGTGACTACTTTTTGAAGAGTCTGGATTAAGCTGCTTGCCTAAAACCACAGCTTGCAACCAGGTAATATCAGATTAGTGCTCAAGTAGAGCACAGCCTTTCAAACTGAATAGCCTTAACACGAAGACATCACTTTCATCCTGCCATTAATGCTGCTCTTTATTCACTTACCAATGCATCAACAACCGGCATCTGTGCCTCCTTCACTGTACCACCCGGATTCATTCCCAGCACAGCCTCTCCCTACGGAATTCATGTGGTTGTGCTTCTACAGCATAGCACATGAGCACAGTAAGGTTAGAATGCTATTGCCTATACATTCCACAGCTTCCAAAGCTTTTGATTTTGCAACTATTTAATAAGTTGTTTTGTGTAAGTAAATCCTGATTTTCATTAAATAAACTTCATTTGAGACATATCAATGCCTCCCAGTCTTCCTGAATAATCTGTAGACACGGCAGCACCGCACAACCTCTCCTCCATGCAACAGCTCAGCTTTGGACTATTCATACAGCCCTAATTCTTAGTTCTTCACTTCCCTCCTTTGTTCTCTAATATTTCTTACACTTATTCCCAGGCTACGTGCCCAAATAGCATGACCAACCTTTCTTCCCCTATTGCCATCCCCCAATCATTCATATCTGAACTAGACATTTCATTATTATCTGAACTAGAACCTTGCTCCTTCTATAAGCCCTTTGCATGAGAAAGATTTTCTTCAATCACAGTTCTGCTAACTGGACTCTCTTCACCCAAACCAGTCAGAAGCTTCACTCTCAGAAGCAGCTAACAACAATTTTGCAAAGTTTATAACATAGTTGTTTTGGGTTTTAGTTTGGTTTTGTTTTAATCATTGTGAAAACCTGAACAAATAGAACTATCCTTGCCAAATCCAAGATACCTTTTCAGAAGAAAGAGATTGTTATATATTTTCAAGTCATCAGAATTTGTTTGGTTTTTTTTATTAATAGGAGAAAATAGCACCTTCTCAGAGAAATATATATATAAAAACATACATAATGTGATATTAATTAATTTCAGGTATATATAATTATATATAGAGAGAACATATAATACATATAATAAGATTATATCTTGCTAAATCATAAACAAATTAAATTGTGCCTGGCAACTTCAATTGAAAGTCTGGAATTCACTCCTACAATCTTAAAAGTGACATTTAAAAGTGACATTTCCTTAAAGTAAAATTTGTTATTAAAGGTTTATGTGGAGGGGGGTAGGGGTGTGGAAATAGCCAGCTTTGCACAGGTAAGGTGTGTCATGAAGCAGATTTAAGATTAAAGCAGTTCTATGAGATTGTTACAAGTTTTAATCTTTCCATTTAACCTTAAAGCTCTACATCATGATTTCAACCTCAAGCTACATGATGGGTAGATTTGTCCAAGATCAAAGACAATCAATTCAGTACCTCAGTCATGAAGTTTTGCTTTCAGGTTTTTAGTTTAGTTTCCTAGCTTTCTACTTTTTTTTTTTTTAAAAAAAAAAGACAAAGTATACTGTTTTACAGAACTTGCACTCCATCTTAGTGCAAATAAACAGAAAAACAGATAAGAGATTTCAGAATTTTCAGCTACCCTAAGTATATTCTGTGCACTTAAGTCAACAGCAAAGGATACTTAATATAACCAACTCTGGATGCCATCGTCTATTTTCAACTAATTGTTTTTCTGAAGGTCATTTCAGAACCAAAGCAATGCTGCTAACATCTACCTATAACATATACACTATTACTTCTTTAAACTAACTACCTAGAGCTGATCAATTTACAAATAAAAATAGCTATAACTGAGAAAGCTATCTACAAATAAATATTTTAGCACAGAACTACACAGTATTGTAACACTGATAAGTCTAGAAACCAAAACTTCAGTACAAACATCTTTAATTTCTAGTACATTAAATATCTCAATAAAAGCTACACAGACTAAGATGTACATAAATATTTCTTTGGATGTGCATAGTTATTTTTTTTTTCCATTAACAGGAACAGAACATACCAGATAAAATAAGTAGTTCAATAATTTCTGCATCTCCCAGATAGGCAGCAGCATGTAAAGGGGTCCTTTTCTCATTATCCTGTGGTAAGAGGGGGGAAAAAAGGTTTATTTAAAATAAAAAAGTATGGTTTAGCATTCTGTATGAGTTATGAAAAAACACTGCATAAAAGTGCATCTTCCAAATATTGTACATTTTATATTTTAGAAAACATAATTACTCTAAAGATGTTAGCCACATTTACTAAGACAAGCATGCTTCTCCCTAAGAAACTCTTAATACCTACATGGTCAACTAGTGTTTTCCTGATGTACACAGATTCACAGATGCTTCTCACATCTTTGGATTAAACCATCAGTTAGAAAACACCCTTTACTTGTCTCCAGAGACAAGAACTTGATACTGTGCTACACAGTTGAAAAATGATGTCACCTTCATATGCAAAAATTAGTGAGAAACATTTCCTTTGGAAAGTTAAAGGTTAGTTTCAGTAGTTGTTTTTTAAACAGAAAATAGAAAAGAAGCTGGAGTGAGTAGGGGCAAAAATACTGAAATCCAATTTCAACTCTTTTGTTTCCTGTAGATAAGCAAAGAGAAGGAACAGATGCCATTTATTTTGCAGAAAACATTCTGGAGGATGCAAGTAAGACTCAGCATTTTTGATTAGTTCAGGCTGATCTAAGGTCCTTCTGAAGGTGCAAGTAAGAGAACTTACTTAAGCCATACACAATATATATACTGATCAAGATCCACTTTTGAAAGTCTAACAAGAAGTATTTCTCAACTCTTTCAGGATCAGTGCCAATTTCCCTGCATCTGTTCATAGCTTAATCAGAAAAAAAAGATCACTTTCACATCACAGTGAGTGACAGAAACGAGCAAGAATCAACCAGTTTGCTCTCTGAGGGAAGGCTGCTGAGAAATCAGAAGAGACGGACCATCAGTCATCATCGTGGTTCTGACCTAAGCTCTGCTTAGATGTCTGTATCTTTTTAGTAGTTTAAATACACTGTGGGTGAGGGATCAAGATTATAAGCAGCAAGAAATTTTAAGTCACAAGACACTTCTATTAATTCAACTGTTGTGTCAGAACTATGGTAAAATTAACACACATTTTAGTTGACATTTTATTGTGAAAAGCATTCCTCTCCCTTGCCAAATTAACCTTAGTCAGTGAATCCCTACTCCAGAGCTAGCAGCATACAAGAAGAAAATTAAAGTTCATGGCAGGAGAGATCTGATAGCAAAACTAGAGCCGAGACCAAAAAACTTCAGAACTTGGAACACTCAACCTCTGCCAATACAACACCACCATGCACATAACCTGTCACCCCAAACGACCTACTCCCTCTTTAGTCCCTACCCAGAAAAAGTTGAATTTACACAGACACCACCATGTCAATGTTTCCTAACGCAACTTTTTGAATTACACACAAGTAATTCAAAATTGAGCAGTGCAACCCTGACACAGATGCAACCTGAATAAGGAACCACTACTACTTATTTATCATTAGCAACACGAAATGCCTCACAGTACCAATTACTTGCCAGTATGTCTCAATTGCACCTTAGATGTTTATGACAAAAAAAAAAAAAAAAAAAAAAAAAAAAGACTGCCCCTGGCATTGAGGACTTGCCATCTAGGGGAAAATAAAAAATAATAATAATAAAAAAAAGACAGGAGGCACAAGGGAAAAAGTAATACGCATATTAAACTTAGTTCCCTAGCGCAAAGGCAGTAAAGACCAGCCAGCAATGAAAATCAGTTTTCATTCCTCCAGTCTGGAGGAGCGGAGCTACTATAGCTAGCTAATATTCTGCAACCCCATTTAAGGCTTTTTGATAATGCTAAAGGGCCTGTAACCTACAGTCTAAGGAGCACAGAAAAATGAGTATGATATTACACTGTCTGCAATTTCACTGCAGAATTAGAGAAAATAAGCCGGGCCATGAGTACGTCCTTTTGTAGAGATGGTGATCACTCGGGAACGCAAGCAAAAACTGCATTCGCCATTTAAAGGGCAAAACTCATTATTATCAAAAGTTTCATCATATTTGTGGTGTTGGTTTGTTTGGTTTTGGTTTGTTTAGAGTTTTTTTTTTCTTTTTAACATCTCAGTGATAGAAGCCATACAAGTAACCAACCTGACAGAACAAAGAAGAAATCTTCCAGTGAAACAGTGGAGAGAAGGGAGCTGTTTGTCTAGAAAAATGCTAATCACCAAACCTCAAATGTATTTTCCTGAAACACTGGTGGTCCAAATTTCTGATAAATTCCAGCCACACTTCTCCAAAAATCCAACCTCTGCTAATAGAAACTGTTGAGTATCCTGAAACCACCAAGATACAAACAGGAAAGCAGCTCAAACACAAGCAACGTTTCCACTCCAGTGCTCCTGTTTCCAAGCTGTGTGTTTCCAGTCATGCAAACATTTCAGTTTTGCTGCTCTGAAGCTGACAGCTTAGAAATACTCAAAGCCAAAATCCCAGTTCCGCAGCAGGGAGTACAGACTGGGAGGATATGTGTGCAGAGGGCTGGTGGAAACTTCCCTGCTCTACAGCACCGTGACAGCCCTGCTGGGACACTCACAGCTTGTCATCTTCTGGGACAACCCCACAGCTTGGTATTTCAACAATCCCAAGCCTCTGGGTCTCTATCGACCACAAGCATTCTGCATGCTGAGGGTCTTTTGACAGAAGCCCTAAGGTCTTTTTTTTCCCCAGTTTCACAGCTGGTACTTTTTGATCCTTCTAAACTTTTTTTTTTTAATTTAACTTTTCTGTGAGAAAGTTTTTGGTTTAGTATATAAAAACCTGTTTTTCAGAACTTCTTACAAAAGCAGAAATGCTGCATTCAGCAAGCTCTCACCAAAAGAAAATTCTAATTCTGTTCTGACTGAAGTTTTACATTTTATTGGTGAATTTTAATAAATGCAATCAGAGTCAAATTAAAGACAATTCTGTATTTTATATGCTACTAAAATACTACTACACAGATCAACTACTTTTTATTAAAAAGCAGTAATCATTTGACGAGCAAATTTCATCTGCAAATACAAGCTATTGCATATAAAGCATTACAGCAAATAACACTACTCACACTTCCAGTTTTAACAAGCAATTTTGGAAGCAGACATCTTGCAGCACTGATCTATCCTATTAATATAAATATTGGCCCTAGTGCTGTTCCTTTAATTTTGTGAACTTAAATGATACTAAATAAACATTTCAAGAGAGGTTTTGCACGTAAAAGTCACTGTTACACAGAATGTAAAATCTAACACTTGGTACTATTTAATGCCACATATTGCAGTATTACTGCAGTATTGGACAACACAGAAAAGCAAGAGTTGTGCCACCTTCATTTTCCAATTCAAAAATATGCAAGGCAAAGGGGACTCTCACAACTCTAAATTAGCTGTAATGTTAGTAAGGAAACACATCACGCTAATTGCATCAGGCAGGTTTTACATAGTTGAAAGAGAATGTTGGTATTCCAGTAGAAACAACAAAGAAATTTATATTCCTAGTAGAAAACTCCAAAGTTTAACTCCAGATACTGGCCAACACTATCAACAAACTAAAAAACAACAAAAGGGCTTGGTCCTTAAGGAATTCATTTTCAGAATGACAGTTCTGTGTCACAAAACCCCCAAACATCGTATTTATATGCACCTTTGGATTGCATTACATGAAAAACACATAACCCTTCCATTCACAGTACTTGCATTTCTCAAGTTTCCCAAACATTTCATCTGCATAGGAGTTTCTGTAAGGATTACAACATTATAAATGCATAGGAGAAGGCCTTATGACCCCCTTAAAATAAAATTTGGAATAAACGGACAGGGATGGTGCCATAAGCTTCTACATAACTCCCCTAATCTAGAACAAGGGTAATGCCACCTTTCATTTTACCTAAAGCACAGGCTTGAACTGTTTCGCTGGTTATTTCATGGATCAAAAACTTCTACACTGGACAAATCTATGGCTAATTTAAACACACAGCATTCAAACCTACCTCTTTCTAAAGTAGTATGTATCCTTTGAGATAAAACAATTTATTCCTGGTTTAGGTTCTATCTCAGCAATTGATTTAGAATAGCTACATACGACTACAGAGAGTTTTAAAGACTACATACCTTAAAGGCAGATCTCCGTTATCCCGCATATATCCAGTAAGACCGCCGTAACCCAACTATGACTTCCCCAAGAGTATATTAGAATGTAACTTCAATTTGCTCTTCAAATAGTTCAACATCTACTGATCGAAAATCCTTGAATTAGGAGTTTTTGTGAAGGGGGAAGTTGCATTCATGCTTTTCCAAAAAATACTCTTATTCTACATGCTCTTCGAAACCAAATTTTGCAATAACACTTTAAAATACTTTCATTATTTCATGATCACAGTTGCAAAATATAATTTCATAGGTGTTTTCTGCTGTATCACTTATCAGCTGTCTCCTTCAATACCATCTGTTCCTGGCAGAAATCAACCCTAAATACACAATCATAAACCTTGAAAGAGTTTCAATTCCAATATACCCTGTAATAGGTTTAATAAGCATTCCTTCTAAGTGAAACTATTTTTAAACATAACACTTCACTTAATGTATTCTTCAGTTAGGTCAGAGAGAGAGGACTATTCAGCCAGCATGATTTGTAATTCCTGGGTTCACGAATAATGTGTAAGAACATGATTACAAAACATTTCCAATTCTTTGGTACTGTCTAATACCACAAAGGTCTCTCTCAGTGTGAAGTCCCAGTGCTACACTCGAGAGTCAGTAGAACACTGACTTTTATCTGCAGATTTTGCTACAGTTTTTAGAATTATCATTTTTTAAGGTAGAGCAACTGTCTACTCTAAATAATTTTTTTGTTCCTCCACACAAAAAAGGACACATTAAAATATTGGGCTTTTACATTCCAACTTTAAACTTCACAAAAGTTTAGTTTAGGTATATAATTTTATAAATGAGGCCATTAACATTTTGGAAGTATGTCCAACCACACAGTAGTATCTTAAAAACACGTAACTTAACTAGAACTTGAAAATTAATTGTATTATCATCCACTGA